AGTTATCAGATCCTGTCTAAGGGTCACGAAACAGTTAACAGTTATTTTCTGACTGTTCAGTAGTGGCTCCAAACTCCCAGTTTCGTGAGATGTTCATCACTGATTAGTTTCATTAAGAATGAAACAGCTAAACAGTGTTTCTCAGCTTTTAAGCATAGACTGGATTCCCTTACAGTAGGAAGCCCACGTTTAAAATAACCGGGCTTCAACTGTAGAGTTTATCTTTTATTGATGCGAAACGAATGGACTACTGTCCTACGCAACTGGAACGCCTGATCCTCCAGTCCTGGTCCTCCAGTTGCTGGAAAGTATCCTGAATGTACATCTTGATCTGGAAATGGAAAACAATAGAATGCAGTCCTGCACATCATTCAAGATTTATTCCTTTGTATCTCATCAGGCACGTACAATGTCGACGTACACAGATCCAACTTCCATTATTGTTGGACTGTGTAGTACACGCCTGACGAGACACAAACAGAACTGCTCTAATTCGTCCCATCTTCAAGTTCATTGGGGAAGAGTATCATCGATTTCTCGCTCATTCTGGGGGTCAGGAATATAATTCACACTGGTTCGTTCCATACAGACATGGGTTTTGAAGTACTCCCACGAGTCGACCGTCTATAAGTTGTCATTTATTTTTGAAGAGCATGGTCACAAGCGTAGCAAGTGAATGCAAGCGACGTATGCCAAAGGGTTGCAGGTGGACCTTTGGACCAGCAAACACCTAAAGCCAATATTTCTTTAGTTTCTGAGGGGAGGCAAAGAAGGATATTGTCTTTTGCGTTTTTATTTCAAACGCATTCATTCATTGTCCACGATAACACTGCAGCCTCATTCCAGTTCGCCCGCAGTTGAAATCTGCTCCTCAGTGTATGGAGTGATTGAACTGGCAAGTTCGTATCAATACTTTGGAAGATATAACCTGGTCATTGTCGAACGTACGCCGATAGCGGGGTTGGCTAACCAACGTGCACCTCAAAATGTCTTCTTACGTCGCTTATTAATGAACTAAAATGTGCAGAGGCTTTCAAGACGTTGGCCAGTAGACAACCAACTGGGATCTGACCCCAATCGTTGAAACTGAACTCCACCCTTAAAACCGATTGAGACGTCACCGTCTCAGAAAGGCTTGGTTTTTAACTGGGCAACGTTCCATAAGAGTTGGGCAATCACACTAACCGACAAGACCATTTAACTGACAATGAACACTGATCTTTACAGGTCTCACTGATTGGTTCCGCGTCCACCTTAAAAAACCTGGCCAACTTGGTGACCCCGCTCCATTGGCCTGGCTAAGATTCTATGCCAAATGCAGCTAAAAATAGCGATTATTTACCAAGCACTTCTGAAAAGATGACTTCTCAATCGGTTCAATTGTTTAACAGCAGCTACGGACCATGAGACCACAAATTGTCAATGGACTACGTCCGATTGGCAAGGCTAGAGACAAACTGGAAGAATAATCGTATATTCAAAATAAAGATGCTTGAAGCACAACCTAATTCCCGTATTTCTACCGATTATGCCACCGAAAACGGCACTCTCTTCTGCCTGAATAGCATGCTCAACGGCCAAGTCATTCCTCAAACAAAGGATCTACTTGATTATTCGGCGTTTATGTGATATCCGTCACCACGCTTGTCGGTTCATCCACAATCTTCAGACTGTGACCTCCCGATAGATTTCCAGTTGCTCAAAACCAAACGACAGCAGTAAAAACCATCTAAGGACAACACGTCAAAGAGAGACGGCCCTATAGAATTGGGTTCGTGGCTACTCGAATACTGGAGTGTCAGTCAAAATACCATCAAGATATACAGCAACGTCCTAAAACGTTTTTTGTAGCTAGGTTAAATTTCAAATGGACACCAATCTACACGCAAATCAGTGATGTTTTTGTAACACAGGTGTGCTTCTGTGTTCTCAAGTATCGTTGATCACTGCACAATTGGCTCATTTCTTCCGAGTAGTGAGCGGCTTTTATAAACATCGACGTATTTGTAGCTTATTTTTTGTCCGAAAGTTCCCCCCCCCATTATGGATTGGAACACCAACCTCGGTAGATCAGTACGTATCAGGTACACGAGAAAACCCTTCATTACACCGGCATACTGTTAGTTGGATGTAATTTGATATTGTGATCGGTAGGTTTCATCTTCCGGTCACTTTTGCCGTTGAAATGATTTGTCGGAGGTTTGAAGTGGATGAAACCAAACAAACTAAACAATCGACGATTTGGTGTCATTCCACGTCTGGACAGAAGGTAGGCATCATTAAGACTGGGACTGAACTGCCATCCAACCTTGAGAGAAGAAAGTTTTAGTAAAGAGTGGAGAGAAGAGAGAAAAGTGGGATTCTATTGCTCCTTGAGGAAACAATCAAGGGCGAGATGCTTCTCCGTTTGGACAGCATTAGGACAGAATGAAGACAGGTGATTTGACAGCCTGTCCAGTTTTAAGCTCAAACAAGATCAAGTATGATTTTCCTTCAATGAGACTCTAAGGAAGC